GCCCGGCCAGAGACCCGTCTCCCGCAAAACGGTGGCGCTGCTCCAAGGGTCACCTGCGCAAGCGGACCCATGTCAGCCTGGATTGCAACGGTGAGCACCAGGCCGGGTCCTTCCAACTCCATCCGGTAGACGGGTCACGCCCGCCGAGCCAAGCACAACCTGCGAAACGATCCGCCGCCTACTCTCGCCGCCCACCGCCGATGGGCTGCGTGCTAAGCCGCTTCCCACCTGCCGAGGACGTCCAACGTGCCGGCAAGCTCCTGGATTACGCCTCCCCTGCCACCTACCCGCCTCAAGCCGTCATTAATCGACTAACGACAAAAGCAAACTTTGGCTACACCACGCCGCCGCTCAGCCCCTACCGTGCCAACAACCTGTCCGCCGGTCCCAGCCAGCCGCCCTGATCACTGCCTTGGCGAAGTAAATTATGCGGGGTCGCACCGCTCGACCGTTCTCCTCCGCCCTTTCGCAACCTTCCGCTGCAACCTATTGGGGGCGTGACGAAACCCGACAGCTACATAAGGATTATCCTCGGCCCCTCTCAGCCCAACGCCGAGAGAGTCAACAGCCATATCGACCTTGGCCCCTTTGCCGTTCAATACGTCATGGCCGACCAGGCGATAGCGAGGGTGTTCATGACAGGCCCGCACGGGGCGCTCATTTCAAGACGGACCTGCAACATGCCTTCCGGTCCATGCCAGTCCGACCGGATCAGTGGGTCATTGCTGGGGTTTTATTGGCAAGACCAGCTTTAGGTTGACGTCCGCTTGCCGTTCGGCCTGCGCATGCGATCATCTGCCTTACGACCTGGCCGAGGAGCCGTGACGAATTGCGTTGTTCCACCCCTCCAACCACAGGTTTTCCACTGTTTTTGCCATAGTTTTCTTTACCACACCGGGCTCACCGCTTTGTGTTGCGGCCTGGCTCTCCCCGACCAGACCATCGCCGGCCCTCGCGTCGCGTGTGGTTGTTCCGTCGCCCAGGACCAGTGCCGTCCCCGAGCCCTTGGGCGGGGCTGTCCGGGTGTGTTCTTAGCGGGACATCCCGGACCAACTCCCTCCCACAGCGTGACGTGCAAGACATTCACGGGCCGTACTCATGGTTCATGAATCCCGCGATGTTCAGCACCGCGAGCTGCTGAGGCTCATTGGAAGGTTGGTACATCCCACCGCATGCGTAGCGGCCCGGCGCAGTTTTGTTCACCATCTCCTCGACACCACCCACTCAGTCAAACGCGTCCACCACTGGGTCACCCTGACAACGGACGCGTACTATGACCTTGCCTGCTGGTTCGCCGTCCTGTCGTTGTAGAACGGCGTAGGTCCTCAGCTGCAGACTGCGTGTTCTCTATCAGCCCATTTTCACTAATTCGCCGACGCCTCACTTGCGGGCTTCGGTGGAATGTGCGGCGAGGAGTGGTTCGCCGAGCCGAGGCCATCGGCAACCCTGGCCTGGGGCACGGGCATGGCGTGGCTGGAGATGATACCCATCCTGGGTGCCTGCGCTGTGTGGAGCCCCAGCTGGTGCGGGCGCCGGATACTGGCCCACTGCGACGACAGTGACGTCATCGATGTACGTACGAAGGGATGAAGCGGGATTCCCACGTGACGTCCCTCCTGCGACAGACATAGCTCCTGGCCGGGTCCCACTCCTTCATCCTATGCATCCATCACGTTGCAGGCCACGACAACTCAACAGTCGACGTCTTTCTAGCCTACAGCTGGATTGGTTCCGAACTCTCTAACCCGCCGCGAAGCCAGCAACTGCGACCGTCCCGGCCAGCACACACGCCATCCTGGCTGGCCGGCGGAGCAGCACGCGGCAGCCGCCGGCTCGCCACTTAGACCGGCTCGTCGAACGACCGGCGCGCGATAACCTGGTTCGCACAACCTATCGGCTCTACACCACGGGCACACGATGCTACCGCCGTTTCTGCTCCACGCTTAACCCGGCGGCCTCCCGGCTTCCGAGCACGCCCTCCTGAGGTTTACGGTGCTGCCGGCGCGCTACGGCACGACTTCGAGCAATGTCTCCGCGCACCCCTCTGGTGCCCGCCAGTGAAGCATTCGACGGGGATCGCAGAGGATCAGACACGCGGAACGCGAGCGCTTTGCTCTGCGGGGTGCTGCCAAAGGCCAGTGCGTCGCACGCCAGCCACGGATGGCGGTGACCCGAGGTCACCTCCGGCAGCTCCATGATGCACTGAAACTAAGCGCCCCATCTCCAGTGGATCGCGCGGCGCTGTGTCCCAGATATCTTCCTTGCTTTTGGTGCGCTGACGGACAGTGAGTACATACCTGTTCCCCGTCGCCCACTCCTTTACGCCGTAACACACGTTTCAGTGGTGCACATAGCCCCGCTGTTTGACCACTTTGAGCTATAGCTCGTCTCCAAAACCCCGCAGCTGTACGTCAGGACGCGTACCAGCCTCCAGAGGCTGGTATGCCTTTTGCCCGATCCGCGCGCTCCGCTGCTTCCACCACGCCTGACCCTCCCCAGCGCAGGACCGGCCGCTGTTCGTCCGTGACAACCGACGGTTCTGTGAGCCACGGTGGTTGGACGGTATCCTCAGGCGCGCTTACTTGGACGATGACGGCCGAATCCCCCCCCCCCCCCCCCCCCAACACACACACACAGCCCGCGCATCGGGTCTGCGACCGCTGCGGCCGTCGCAGGAGAGGTGGAAAGTGTGGTCCACGTCTCTGGTGGTTGGCACGGGTCCTCCTTCCTTCACACCCATGGGCTGCGGATGGCTCTTTTGGAGGCCTGTTGGGTGATACGTGTTCTAAATGCAAACTGTTTGGGGCTGTATGGCGTTTTTCAGGCTTGGCTTGCAGAACAGCAACTACATGACATAGGTGGCAAAATTCGGGGTGGAGCTGTAACAACAACGGATACGGTCAAACCGAACTCATGACAGCTTACGGGATCGTTCAACTTAATGGTTGGTTACTTGTTTCACGATGGAGTCGTGCAATAAACATGAACTCGGTATCGTCTCGGGCGCCATCTGCCGCAAGTACTGAGCGCGAGTGCGACGCGGGAGCCGCCTGCCGTCTATAGAGGGCGCCGGTGGGCCTGCACTCCTGGCGGAAGCTTGCGCACAGACAAACCACAGCAGACTACCACGACAGAAAATGCTGTTCATGGCAGCAATGAACTGGCGACATTTATGAGTTTCGCGCGCTTTTTTTCGTATTTAGTTTTTGTGTGTACTTCTCACCTGTCAACTGGTGTCTCTCATGCTTGGGCTCCAGAGTAGGGACCACAGGACGCAGCTGGCTGGGCTCGAGGACCAGCCGCGCGCCAAAAACAGCTAATCAACTGTGGCCAAGCCGAACTCACGACTGGCCACGAGATCGTGCCAAGTCAATGAAACATGCTTCCACTCCAAGACCAATTTGAGGCCAGCATGAAGTCGAGGCCAGCATTCCTAACATCACTGATTACATAATAGTGTAAAGTTCATACAAATTAAGATAGTTCAAAGAATGTGATAGTTAAGTGCGAAAAACTGCATTCGTAAAATTTGAAAAAATTATATTGATAAAAGTTCATATAGAATTGTCCTGGTGTGTTTGCAGTCACATTTCACACCGCATCTGCAGGAGTTCAGTGCATCATGGCAACATGAATATGTTGCTTAATGCACAATCACAGCAAAATATCCTTTCGCGCTCCAATGAGCCTTTCCTCTCAGAGGTCCATCCCGGGGCCTTTGATTGCAACATACAGTTATGATCAGTACTGTCATGTACAGTCATGATCCAGGCGCAAGCCCTTGGTGGCAGACAGGTCAGAGGGGTAGAGTCATTGATAAGCGGCCCATTCGTTTCACAGCCTGGTAGTGAAGGTGGATCGGGATCGAAGTGAGCTGCAGAGGTCGCTGTGGGGTTGGTTCCATTCGCGTGTGAGGCGAAGGAGTGGCAGGCACCATTAAAGTAATGAAGCACATCATTTTTAACATTTCTGTTCCAAACTTTTGATTGGACCATTTCCGGGATCAGCACCCACGCTAAGAGGCGCGTGTTGCGTGAGCTCTGAAACCATCACTACAGTGAGACCCCTGAGTACGTAAGGGATGATCGTAGAACTCCGGGTCAAAGACAGAATTTTACGACGAGAGCTTAACGTGCCGCAACCGCCCGTCCTCCACTGAGGGGAGACCCAGTGACGGCACCTGACCTTTACCGCACCCACTGCTACCGACCGCAGCCCACGCCAGCCGGGGTCAAATAATAAGCGCACGAAGCCACTTGAACACTCTTTTTTTCATATATTTTGTCATATCAAGGCGTGCGCCATCCACTTGCTTGACATGCGACAGAACCGTACGCACGGCATCCTCTTCGGCTCACTTAGAGTCTGGGCGAGCTTCGCTAGCACTACCACTACCACTGTTAAGCCCCGACCGAATGAGAGTTAGGTCCCCAACAACAGCCCTCTGATAAAAAGAACAATATGGAAGAATCCTAGCGACTGAATTGCTCGGGCAGGTGGGCATATGGGGCCTCCAGCAATAGCATAGGGCTTCTGGACGGCGAAATAGGCCTACATATTTCCCTAGCTACCACCCCCTCAAGGAGTTATTTTTCTTTGCTTATGGACCGTTCACTTTAGCTTGTAAATGTTTTTGGTCGTCTGGAGACCCAGATACGTCCAACCGTGTTGTGCTTGGGTTATCAAAACTGCGTCCGGGGCGGAGCCATGGGCCCGCCTTCCCTTTTGGGACCGCCACGTAGTTCGTTTGGTCGGTTATGGGTCCCTGCGGAGTTTAAAGGTCTTTTCGGGACCCAAGGAAGCCGGCATTGCCAGTGCCATCCCCCCCCCCCTCTGGTTTCACCACTCGCGTACGTTTAAGTCGCGGGGTATAGCCCGATGCGTCCAGAAGCAAAAATCTTAACCTCTTATTAGGCGTCTATATCGGGCCGCCAACGGTGTTTTTCAGTGACGTCACAGCATGGCTCGCGCGGAATGTAAATAAACCGCTTGATAACATCATCTCACATATAGTGCCTTGCCTGCGTCTTACACCGCCGGTGTTGTGAGGTCGTGGCTATTGTATTTTGAAAGTAAGCTGGTACACTGTTCCTGCGTTATTGTTACTGCCGGTGCTGTGTTGCAAAGGTGTCCTATAGAGATTGAGTCAGGGGACGTCCATCAGTTATGTTACGCAAGGAGTAGAACTAGGGGACGATTTTAGGCATGGATGGCCTTAGTCTGTCCCTAGTCTCCAGACCCGCGATTTGCCTGGGGCAGGAGGGTGAATCCAGGGTTGCATGAGGTTCCATGTTGACTGGATCCTGGGATCATTACTGGGGGCTTCTGTCATAGACATAACAACATGCATCACTTTTATGCTTTTGGTGCCT